AGCTGGGGATTGGACAGCCCCAGAAAACAAAACAAGACAATGAGGCACAGCAGTCCAGGGACAAGGACTAGAAGGCAGGAGCAGACAGCAAAGCTGGTGATACGGAACCCAAGGTTGAGAAAGGACAGTGTTGACATGTTGTGAGGTTGTTAACCACTGTCATAAAACAGTATGTGTACTAACTGTTTAATGAGAAACTATTTGTTCTGTAAACCTTCACCTAAAGTACAATAAAAAAAAAAAAAAGATAAAACTCAAAAAAAAAGTTTGTTTTTAGAGGAGAAATTTAGAATGTGGGGAAGGCATCAGTATTAGTGGGTTATGACTTTATAGGTCTAAGACTAGTTCATTCAGGTAACAAATATTTACTGAGTGCCAGAACTTCGGTCAGGCATTGCCTTAAGTATGAGGAATGTTAAGATGACTGAGGTTGTGAACTAGCATCTATTGTTTAAATCCTTGTTAGAGTTTTGACTACTTCTTTCTAAAAAATTATAGATAATAACTTTCATTAAAAAATCTCATACTTTCTCAGGAACAAGTTAACAAATAAAACTTTATATGTATTCCTGAGCTACCTAATATGAGGCATTCTGCTATTAAATAACTACAACAGGAAATCTAAGAGAGCAATTCATTTCCTTGACCTAACAGTGTTTGTAAACTATGGATCTATATTTTACTTACAAATATACTTTTCCCGATCACTTTAGATTTACAAAGCCTCAGCTCACCTAACTGAGCCGCTGAAAAAAAAACTAGCATTTCCTAACCTCTATAAACCTCATCTCCCTGTTTGCCCTCCATTTCCCATTAGGCACCTAAAGAAAAAACACAAAAACAAAATGATGGAAAAAGCAAGAAGCAAGCCCAATCTGTCAAGCAGTCTTCCCTAAAGTTAACCAGAATGAAATCTAGGCACACATGTTTTTAAAAGAAGCACTTTAAACTTTACAACAAGTCTGCAAAAATTTGCCATATTTTATACAAAGATTTACCCTTAAACTAAAGGTATTTTTATCTATACTCATAGCACAACTTAGTTATTCACTCTGATGGGTAAGAAATACTCTTCTACAGAACCAAGATATGGAGTCCCTGAGTGGTGCAAATGGGTAGTGCTCAACTACTAGCAGGAAGATTGGCGGTTCAAACCCACCCAGAGGTGCCTAGGAAGACAGGACTGTTAATCTACTTCTGAAAGGTCACAGCCTTGAAAACTCTATGGAGCAGTTCTACTCCGCACACGCGGTTGCCATGAGTCAGAAATTGGCTCAATGGCAACCAACAACACAACCAAGATATTAAAGCACATTTAGATTATAATTACTACTACCAAGTATAGGCCCGGACTCAAATTTATAAGATGCTGTGAACAGGAAATAAGCAATTTCTTACTTGTTACATACTTAAAAGACAACATATTTGTTTTCATAAGAATTAACAGTGATCAGGAAAATATCACACATTACATACAGCATGTACATGTTGTAGATGTATAACAATGCTTCCAAATGAAAAGTAGAAATTAAACAGCAAACCAGAGAGTTAAGAAATCTGTCCAAGTCTACTAAACTAATTATGTTTGGACTAGGTTCTGAATTCTAGTTTCTGGTTTTTCACAATCTAAAAAATGACACTGCTTTCAGGCTAATGAAAACACAAAGTCCATCTTTGCTATTTCTCTTTCTTAGTAAGAATAATTCTGTGGCCAGAAGTAAAATGAAGCTAACTGTAAACATAAACACCAGGCTATTTTAAATTAATGAAGATTTGAGAAGGGCAGTTGAGATAATAAAGTGGGTGTTTTTTTAACTCTTGTACCTGCTTGGCTGTCTTTTTCTATGAACCAGGCCTGTATTCATTAGATTCTTATGAGAGTTCTAACTCAGACAGAGAAAAAGCAAATTCAGGTAGCTAAAATACAGGTAAGGAGCCCTGGTGGTGCAGTGGTTAAGTGCTTAGCTGCTAACTGAAAGGTCAGCAGTTCAAACCCACCAGATGCTCTGTGGGAGAGAGATGTGGCAGTCTCCTTCACTAAAGATTACAGTCTTGGAAACCCTATGAGGCAGTTCTACTCCATCCTGTAGGGTCGCTATGAGTCAGAATCGACTTGACTGCAATGGGTAAAGACACAGGTAGATAACAAACTAATGACACTGATTTAGTCACACAAAGAAATTAGTGGCATTACTTTATAGTGAACAAGTAAAATGGACCTTGTAATAAATCAAGGGGTTAGTGGTAAACCTAATTTGACTGAAATCAGGGAATCATTCAACCATTTGAAAAAATATTTATTGATTACTTATACTAACTTCCCAATGCTATCTGCTTTGGGGAATACAGAGAAAAATAAGTATGGTCTATGTCCACCAGGAACGTGCTATCTGTAAAATTTTTACAGTTCATAAGCATTAAACGTTCTTACTTTGGAGTAGGATTATTTATTTTTTTCAATTATCATTTTACTTTAAAAAAATTGGGGTGGGGGAAGCAAATCTGTAATATACATCTTGATTGAAACAATGTTAACAAAAATCTTAAAAACCAAAAATTCTAAATTCCATTACCTTTTCTCTTGATCATCCATGTTTTTCTGATCTGCATAGATTTCTGCATAGAGCAATGCTGTAAAGTGAGCAGCACAAGACTGAGCGACCTTGGCAACCTCTAGATAATTCAAATCCAGCCAGAAAGCATCATCAAAAACTGTTCCTGAGAAAGGTCTAAAGAAAAATTAAACATAACGTCATGTCCATTTCTTTAACTTCATTATCTAAAGAAAAGCATGTTGATTGTTACTTAAAATTACATTCAAATACGTGAAAACCACATTTCTCTAAAATATAGCTACATCTGATGTTCTTTATTCATTGATTTTGTATTTTCGAATTTACCTACTCATTAAAATTTGTTACTACAAAATCCATACTTATGGCACTTCCGTGGTCATCTCTGAACATGCGCAGAGGGGTGAAAAATTACCCAATGTGCATGTTCCCATCTGAGACAGAATAAGGTGACGCTCTGCCTTCTTATTTCAGCTCTCATAATGTAAACAAGTGTCCTTTGCATGATCTACTTAGTGGCACATTTTTCGCATTTTTGTGCTTTCTGTTGGTGATTTCCCTGTTTAAAGTGGCTCCCAAGCATGGTGCAAGGAGCCCTAGTGGCATAATGGTTACGTGCTCAGCTGCTATCTGAAAGGTTGTTGGTTCGAACCACCAACTGCTCCACGGGAGAAAGGACCTGGCGATCTGCTCTTGTAAAGATTTCAGTCTAGGAAATCCTATAGGGCAGTTCTACTCTGTCTTATAGGGTGTCTATGAGTCAGAATCAATGCAATGCACACAACAACAACAACAAGGATAGTGCTGAAGTGCTATCTAACATACCTACGCACAAGAAGGCTGTGATGTGTCTTACGGAGGAAATATGTGTGAGAAAAGCATCCTTCAGCCATGAATAATCGTGTTGTTGGCTATGAATTTAATGTTAATGAATCAACAATATACATGAAACAAGGTGTCATTAAAACAGAAACACACATAAAACAAGGTTACGTATTGACTGGTTGATACAACTGTTGTGACCAGAGGTTCAGAGGAACCTAACCCTGTGTTTCCCCTAGGAGCAGTATCTCAATACTCGCTAATTCAATGTTGACAGTAACATTATAGAATGTACTCCCATAAATAAAGAGAATTAACTGTATAAACATTCTAAGACAATATAGCTGAACAGCCCTATTTCTCAGTCTTTTTGGGTTACAAACTCCTCAGAGAATCTGATGAAGATGAAGGACCATCATCTCATACAAATTTGAGGTCCCCACCTGCCCTCCACCAAGGAATCTATGGACCATATGCTAAGAATTGGTTTTACAGAATAGATAACAACCTACAAAAAAATCTTTCAAAATAGTCAATATAATTAAAATATTTAAGTTCTTCTAAGACACAAGTACATGTCTTTTCTATTGCAGCTCATTTCTCCTTAGTTTAATGCCTAGGTTGAGTTATTTAATGAAAATCTTCCACTATGGTATATACACAGAAGTGTGTATACCATATTTTAAAACAAGTCACATGCGCCTTCTATGTTTGTTTGCCCACTGCACCCTCCCTCTGCTAAGTATTTTTGTAGGCACTGTATACCTCATGGAGCGGGGAAGGGCGTGTGCTAAACAAATGTAGAAGGCGCGTGATATCTGCATAAAAGTATGGTACAGATGTAGTGTGTACAGACACTACACAGGTGTTGTGTATACACACAAGTGTATAATCAGGTGTAGTATATACAGGTGTATTATACACAAAAGTGTATATGCACAGAAGAGGAAGAGACCATAGATATTATCTTTTTCAAACTAACACTATAGAGATGTGGCAAAGTAGTAGTTAAGAACCCTGGCTTTGGAGAAGGATACACTTAGGTTCAAACCCAGCTGTGCGATTCCACTTAACTTTTCTAAGTCTCCGTTTCCTTATCTTAAAAAAAAACAGGAACATCATGTACCTCAGAGAGTAGTTGCAGTGATTAAATAATGCTTGTACAGCTGATGAAAAAGTACCTACCACATAGCAAACACTTAATAGTAGCTATTATTTCTGAGGATCCTAAAGTTCAGAGAATTCAAATAACTTGCCCAGGGAAAGGAATAGCAGGCATATTATATACCGTATCTCTTTTAACTACCACAGCCACTCTTTACAGTAGAGATTATCCTGATTTTAAAGATGATGAGAATGAGATTTAAAGACAATAAATAACTTGTCCAGATCACAAAGCTTCTAAGTTCAGACTTGGACCTGAACCCAGTTCCTCACCCTTTTCTCAATGTCCCACTAATATTTTCTCAAGGAGTCTTAACTTTAAGGTCTTACTTAAAATTAAAAATGCATGTTAAGAATTTGTATCTTCTCAGGGGACAGGGCCAAGACGGCAGAGTAGTCAGATACTTCCAGTGGTTCCTCTTACAACAAAGACCCGAAAAAAACCAAGTGAATCAATTATATATGACAATCCAGGAGTCCTGAACATCAAAGGCAAAGATGAGGAATCAGACTGAGTGGCAAGGGGAGGGAGAGACAGTTCAGAAGCAGCAAGTTGCCACATCTGACCCTGCAGGAGCCGGCGCCCTTCAGGTCAGATCAGCTCATGTGTGCGGTGAGGCAAGCAGTGGTGCTCAGGAGGCGTTTTCCACATTGGGAGAGACCCAGTGGCAGAGAGCCTACTCGAACATCCAGAACCAGTGAAAAGCAGCGCTCAATCAGCCAAAGGTAAGTACTTGTGTATGGCCTACTGCACGGATCAAAAAACATTCCCAATGAGAAAAACATCTTTCCCATTTACCTCCCCCAACCCGACTATGCAGCAGGTCCTGGGCCAGCTTCAGCAATCGCCGAGCCCCCAGGCCGAAGCAGGACCCATCACGTGCCCTGAGCCGGTCTCCCAGCCTTGGAGAGGGAATAAATTAACAAACAGGGAAAAAATAATCTGCCTGCTCCCCTAAGCCAGGAACTCAGGGTAGGCACAGCTCCTTTGCCTAAGCGCAGGCATACAGGGTCCACGGACTTTGAATGCCTTTCACTCCTGCATAGACCTGTGTGGGCCCATTTCAATAGCACCCCATTATCACACTACAACAGGGTACATAGCTGAAGTCTAACTTCAACTATTTCAGCTATATGGTGAAGTGGCAGGTTTGTGACATTTAATACTGCTCTGCCCATTAAGCAGGGTCCTCACCTACCCACATCAGGGGCCTGAGGACTGGTGGCTCCACCCATGCCACCTAGCCACCTGTGACAGGGGTCTAAGAATAAGTGGTGCACCCCAGTCCTTACAGCCAACAGTATTGGGTGCTCACAGTCTGGCTGCAAAACCCATCCACCTACGCGCTCTAGAGAACAGGGACACGCTTTCCTCCCAAACACGCGGGGCAGCCATCAGCCCCCTGCCTTGCTCAGCGCATGACCCCTTACTGCAGCCGGATACCTCTGCCTATACCAATCACCCATGCCTGGCCAGGACTGTAGGTGAGAGCCTGCACCACATACTTGGTGACTGACTACCCGGACACCTGAGCTGAATTCATACAAGAAAAGTAAACAGACTCTTCGGCTCACATACCTAGTAACAGCTCTAACCACCTAGTGACAGGATGTTAGAGCTTCAAAGGTGCCACTAATCAAACCAGCTCACATGAGCAGCCTATTTGGCCATATCTAAACAAAACAAAACAAGAAGCTAGGACGCCGTAAGCAAACATAAAATAGATAACTGATTAATGGCTCGGAGACAACAGTCAATATTAAATCACATCAAGAGGCAGACCACGATGGCTTTGGCAAACTCTCAAAGAATCAAGAAATTTTCCAGTGGAAGAGAATTTCTTGGAATTACTGGAGGTAGAATATAAAAGATTAATATACAGAATTCTTCAAGAGATCAGGAAGGAGATCATGCAAAATGCAGAACAAGCTAAGGAACACACAGACAAAGCAATAGAGGATCTTAAGGAGGTTATTCAAAAGCATAATGACAAATTTAATAGGCTGCAAGAATCCATAGAGGAATAGCAATCAAGAATTTGTATCTTCTCCAAATCCTGCTAATGTCAACACTGTTCTATCCCAGTGATGACTTAGGAGTGAAACTGCCTCCTGATACCAAGAAAAAGATTCTTCCAGCTATAGTTAGAGCTTCTTATGGGCTTTCTCAGAAGAGGACCTAGTACAATAAAATAAGGTAAATCAGTAACTTTCTAATCAGAAACAAAGAGAGGCATAAGGGGGACACAGAGGAAATAATTTTTTAAAGATACAAATGCATTTAAGTTACAACGCATTTTAATTTTTCTCTCATCTCTTGCTTCCATTCTTCACCAACAACTGCCACCAAAGAGGTTGGAAGATTTGGCAATGATAACCCTGTTACTGGTACAGCAGAGACTAAAAGTGAGAATTTCTGACGCTGATTTAACCAAACTGCTACCCTGAAATGGGATTATTAAAAGGAGATATAATCATCACACAAATTAAATATAGCACTTTTCAGCAGCTTCACCTAAAATACCCAAGTTAAAGTGCAGCCAGCAGTAACAAGCTGCACTTCTAAACCCCCAAACTCGAGAAACAACACTCATTACCTTTTTTGTCTTCTCATGTAGTCCACAACAGCAAGCATTGTTCTTTGTGATTTTTTATCCAAATATCCTCGGAAAATGTGTTCTGACTCTGACAAACAAACAAAGATATCTCCTCTCAGTCCCAGGCAGATTTACTTAAGTACCTTCTTCTCTGTTTATGTGGCTGTCTCTCTCTATACTAGAAGGTTTTGGTAGGCAGTACCTAGCACAAAATTAGTTCTTAAATAAACATGAATTGATAAATGCATTAAATAGCAATATTTTTTCTTTTTTAAAGAAAGCATTCTGCTTAATAAAACTCAGAATTTAAATTATAATTTATATTTTATTTCTGAAGGGGGAATAATTTATTGACTCAACAAATATTTACTTTGGATCTTTTATGTGCTAGATGCTCAGTATACAACCATGAATAAGACAGATTATTTCTAACTATATAGAACTCACTGACTAGTCTGGGAACTCTTAACACAGCGTGACAAGTGCTATCATAATGAATGTTTAGAATGGTATAAATGCATATAGGAAGGAACCTAATCTGAGTAAGAAAAGTTTCACAGGAAAAAAAGGTATCTGAAAGAAGGGTAATGATTAATCAGGAGGAGAGGAAAGGACAGTGTTCTGGAGAGCAGTAACAGTATCTGAGAAGCAAGAAAGAACATGGAAAATTAACTGAAAGAATTTCAGCTGTTATCAACCACGGACTTAGAGAGTAGTACGGATGTTGGGGACAGAGAAAAATAGGATGGATGAAAGTTACATATGACATAGAATTGGCAGGATTTGGCAATCAGCTAAGATATGCGAAAGAGGGAAAGTGAAGGATAGTGTGCAGGTTTCTGGCTGGGGCAACTGAGTGTCATTCACAGAAAAGGTACACATTAAGAGAAGTAGGTTGGAGGAAGGGATGAAAATGTTAAGTTTACTTTTGGACAGTTGAATGTGAGATGTACATGGGACATTCAACAGATGGCAGCGAGAAATACAGACATCAGCAAAGATATACCATTTAATTTGATAACACAGCTACATTTATTTTCCTTTTCAATAAGAATTTTACACGTGAAGTTGAAATTTCATTTAAGGTAATAAAAATACTAGCACTCTACAAAGAGAGCAAGTAAAACCAGCTGATTTTACCTTTTGATGGTTGTGGTATAAATACATATGTACAAATGATAAACCATGGAAAAAAAGCCTTGGCCATATTCATGATGACGACAAATTATAAGGTTATTATAGGTAGTAATTATATTAAATGTATAAAATTGTTTTCATAGTACTCTAAATTATATAATATTTAAAAAGTTTAAATGCTTACTGGTTAACTGTGATTTACTTATATCTGTTTATTTCTACAAACAGGTATATATATAACAGATATATTCTAGGTAGTTTGCAAAGCTCCTATGAGAATTTTTATTTTAAGGTTTTCATTTCAATGGCCTAAAGAAAATTCATGTAAGTATATACTGGATCATCTACCTGAGAAACTTAGGATCACAGGACGTGCATGCCTATCTATGTTTATAATTATACTAATTCTAAATAGTAGATTTATAACTCTTGTTAATCAACAGAAAAGGACATACCTAAAAGATAAAGCAGAGACAAGCAAACCTAAATGACATCAGTGTCATCAAATGAAGGCTCTAGTAGTTCAAACAGAAGAAACAAGAGAATTGGGAAATCACAACTTATGTTGAAGTGACTGGAATTATAGTCAGGTTGGAAGGAGCAATTTAGTTCCAGCAAAATATCCCATCGCACTAAATCAATAATTTTATTAGAATTATACTGGTCTTGAAGTACAAGAAGTAAATCTGTACAAAGTCTTATGTTTGTACATAAAGTACACTAATACTATATATTAAAGACAATAAGTAAACAGTGGAGATCCATGAAGTTTTTTCCTTTTTTTGATTTAGGCTTGAAAACTGACCCAGACTGAGCCCTCAGTTATGCATCAGTATAGCATGTGTACCCAATTCCTAGTGAAAGTTCTCCTGCCACTCAACTTTTGTCATGTGAAATACTCATTATATAGCATGGAAGGAAGGTAGATTATAAAAGTAAAGTATAACCAAATCTTTGTTTCAAAAAATTGGTAGGATAAATGGTAAATGTTAACCACAGTTATCCTAGATCATAGGATTATGGGTAATTTAATTTTTTAACAATTTGTACTAATTTTTTCTATATTTTCCACAATATTAGTATTTTTATAATAAAAAGGTTGCTTTTTAAAAATGAGTTGGCCAGATCTCCAAAAATATGAAAATCCTATCATATTTCCATAGCACCTATAATATTTGATTGCATTTATTTATTTGTGCGCTTTTCCCATTGCTAGAATGTAGGCTCACGGCTTGCATAGACTGGGTCTTGTTCACATCCATGTCACCAATGTCGGACACAAAACTGAATGCTCATTTAGTTGCCTCATTATTCATAGCCAAAATTCACTGAGTTAATACTCAGTACATCAGTTATTATTCTAGGTGGTTTACACACATTATCGCATTGAAAATTTGATATAAATTTTGTTATCTAAATTCTATGGATGAGGAAATAGAAACTGAGGTTATGGAATTAGGCCTGTAAAGTGTTTTTAATGGGATTCAAATTGAAATCTATCTTTCTCCAGAACTGAGAAGTTAATAGAATAGAAGTTAGAAATCTAACAAACTATGGAAATACCTGAATCCAAATTCACAGGGGTTGTGGATTGGCTGGTTTGTGAGGAATGTCTGAAGCAGTTGGTGAAAAATCCCTGAATATGCGTAGAAAGCAGATTTCTCCATGATTCATTTGTATCTTGCAGCAAAATATCATGAATCAAATATGGAAGCACAGTCTGACAAAAGTCAGTTTTCACCTAAAATATACAAACATATTCAGGCAATAGTTTGAGTAAAAAGAATATATTTTATTTAAAATTTTCATTCCTTGGTGCTGACACATTAAATTTTTTTTAAATGGCAAATGAATCTGCCATGAACTCAATGTACTGCTAAAAAACAAGCAAAGACACATGTGTACAAGGTAAAATAATGTTACCACTATAAACACAGTTTTTGAGTTGAAAAGTGTTATTAATAATATAAGCAGTCTTCTGATTTGTTATCAAGTTTAAGAGAAAAGATGAGCTTTTGATTTTTGCACATTTTCTACCTTCACTGAGGAGCTACAACAGTCATGTTAAAATGTTTATTTTATTTTTTTAAATCAATTTCTGGATATAAAATCTGGATAATTGTTTGTGGTACACCCCAAAGTGTAGAAAAGTGCTTAAGTACATTAAAGCAGTACTCAGCCTTATTTTGCTGAGACACCACCTTCATATGTTCATCACACACCATGCACATAGGAGAGGTTATAGATTATCAATTGCGTACTTTTTCCTTTTTAAACTTAAAGACAAGTCAAAAAGTTATTTTTGGAACTAGAGAATTTAAGAGACTAGGATTGGGGTATGTTTTATGTATGTATATTTATTTGGAACATTTTACCTCTGGCCAAAAGCCAGAACTTTATAGAAAATCTTAGGTTTGTTCACCAATGAGAAATGAATGGCATGTCCAGGTTATCACTCCCCTGATGTGGTATAAACCCAATGTAGTACTGACAGAATGTGATGAGTTAGTCACTGTTACTCCTTTACTATAGGAAACAACGGCTGACTTTTTAAACTGCTCTCGATGTGAGCATTTTACCAAAATACTTGTATCGGTTATGTGTAATTGGCAGATGTTTGACCTAGTCGGACAGTGTGTATTCCTACATTTCTGTTGAATGTTTGATAGTACTGAAAGTTAGCTTAACCTTGTAAGTCTTAAAGCATCATTACATTGTGCTCTTTTGATGACATTTGGTAAAAGCGTATAAACTCCTTGTTTGGTTTGGTCCCCTATCTTTACTCTCATTGAAATACATTGTACTTGTACCTTTAAAAATAACGCATCCAGTACGTTGATACTGCAAAGCTGAAACCTACTGCATAAAATTAAAGCTAAACAAAGATACCCTGTCTGACAGACTCTCAACAGCTGAGTAGGGTGATGTTGCATGAAGATGATATGCAATACTACAGCACTCTTTTTATATAGGTCATAAACATGTACACAGTAGCTGAATGGAAGCGAAAAAACAAAACTATTTTTAAAAAGCTGAAAAGAAAAAAGCAAAGGTAGAAAGGGACTAAGTCAGGCTGATTCTTAATCTTCTTACTTCACACATTGGCTTTAATAACTGAAGAACTTCACTTTTTAAGCCTCCACTATCCAAAAAAGCACAAGTCAGTGTTTTTATCCAAACATCATGATTTTCACTTTGAGGAATCCACAAACTTGTATCATCCAGGTCTTCTAAAGGATTTTCTTTATCAAGTCTGGGTACTTCTAAAAACTAGAAAGTGATCAGAAAACGTAAATAAGATTAGAAATATATTTTAGTTCTCCTGTACAAAATACGTATCTGGACACAAATTAATCTGCTTCCAAATAAAACTAAGTTCAATGAAAATTAAACTTGTAGGCAATAGTAATCTTCTGAAATCAAAATATATTTTTGCTTACATGAGAGGCAGAGTGATACGGTGAAAAATAACCCAGCAGAAAACGTGGGTGCTACCCTCCCTTCTGCCACTCATTAGTACATATGAAGCAAATCACCAACTCCGCCTCTGATAAACATTTATAAAACAACTACAAAGCTTCCACACAGAACTGATTCCAAGATGAAATAAGATTTTAAAATGTTAAGACTATAGTGCTTTATAGCTTACATACTAGTTGTACTTTCAGTGGAACCTCATTATGACATCAACATGAAAAAAGGGAGAAATCTATAGGTCATCATGTCGTATTTCACTAGAGGGTTGTGATACTTTAACTCCATATGGAAATAAACGCTTGTTGAGCACAAAACCTATACCCACACCCAGGATCAATGGACTTCATGGGATCCACGTAAGGATTTTCCTACTCCTGAGAAAAAGGGCTAGAAGAACTCACCTCCCCACTTCAAGTCAACCATCACTTTTCTAGGCTACCTATCTCAGCTTTTCCACACTGCCATAGTTAAAAATAATAAATCATTTAGGTCTAAGAGGTACAGTTTGAATTATTCCTAGGACAAAGTTAAATGTTAGTACAACAAGATTTTAAGCCATCTGATAGTCATAGTCCACAGTGAATAGAACTGTTGCAGACACAGTGGCCATTCAATAAACATTACTTAAGAGACCTTTTTTCTCGATGTTCTAAAAGGCTGTAGATAGGTGAGCATGGGATCAGTAGTCATCTTATAAATCTCCCAGAAACTGTGTCCAGCCTTTGTGGCTAAAATGCTTTTCAAACAGGTAACAGCAGCTGATCGAACTCTGACACTGAAAAACACGTAATTCAAATGCATATAAAGTACATCAGTTATCAATCTTGATGCATCTTAAGCAATTTTCATTGAAAAAATTTAAAAATGAAAATTTAATAGGAAAAGTTATATCTATAAAATCCTATAACATCATAGTCAAATTATTAAAGAATTTTTAATATTCTTTCAAGCAATTTGAATTACTAACAACTATAAAAGAAATTCCCTTTATTCAACCTATTAAAGTTTGTATTATAACTACAAATTAAAAGGACTCAAAAGAAATATTTGGAAATAATATAGCCTAATAAACATGAGTCACTAGAATGACAGAATACTAACTAACTCGAGAAAACAATATTCTGATTAATATATTTCCTGGTGGGGTACAAATAATTTGGTGTTGGGGGAATGGCATTTCCCCCACACGATAAAATTATCAAGAACAATTTTAAACATACAATAAGTACATATTTATTCTGACCAGAACCTAATTGAGAATCAGTAGGGAAGGCATCTAAAATCTCTAATAAAAAACTGCAAGTCCTTCTCTTTTGGAAAAAAAAAACGAAAGGAAGCGCTGTAATACAAGAGTGCTGAAAATATGACAACTGACAAAAAACGATCACAGAGCTTGATACTATAAATGTTTAAGCAAAGGCTCAATTTCTTTTAGGCTACTCAGTTTAAGACAAAATCATAAAAGCCATGGTATTACCTAGCTGTTGAGACCCTAAACCTGGATTCATCCTTAATCTCTCTCTCTTTCCTTCACTCCTTCATATCCAATTCATCAGCAAGTCCAGCTAACACTATGTTACGAACATATCCTGGTTCCATCCATGACTCTCATCTCCACTGCTACCACTCTAATCCAAGTCAGCATCACTTCTCCTCTGGACTACTGCAGTAGTTTCATAATCAGTATTCTCATGTTTGCATTTCTGCCCATTCAAAATCCATCCACCATATAAAAGTCCAAGTAAAATATGTAAGCTGCATCACAGCACTATGCTGCTTAAAACTCCATAGTTTGCTTCTACATATCAAATAAAATTCAAATTTCTTAATCAGAATTAATCCTACGTTTTCAATCTCACCTCCTACTATCTTCCCCCATACCAGGCTTCTTTCTGTTCCTCAAACACACCAAGCTTATTTCCACTCTAGCTGTTCCCTGTCTGGAATGCTTTACCCCTAAATCATCTTGCAGATAATTCCTAATCACTCAGATCAGCTACATGATACCTCCTCAGAGAAGTCTCTCTTGACTATTGTATTCCTGGAATCCCTTGGTCAACTTCCCCTTTGTAGGACTGAAGTCCCTTAAACACCTGTCATGGTTTGAATTATGTCCCCCAAAAATGTATGTATCAATTTGACTAGGCCATGATTCCTGGTACTGTGTGATTTTCTTGTATGTTGTAAACCTGCCTCTATGATGTTAATGAGGGAGGATGGGTGGCAGTTGTGTTAGTAAGGCAGGACCTGATCTATAAGACTGGATTGTGTCCTGAGGCAATCTCTTGAGATATAAAAGACAGAAGTGAGCAGTGAGACAGGGGGACCTCATACCATCAAGAAAGCAGTGCCAGGAGCAGAGCGCGTCCTTTGGACCAGGGTCCCTGCGCTGAGAAGCTCCTAGTCTGGGGGAACACTGATGAGAAGGCTGAGAGAGAGAAAGCATTCCCCTGGAGCTGATGCCCTGAATTTGGACTGTTAGCCTACTTTGACCATGAGGAAAAAAACTTCTCTTCATTAAAACCATCCACTTGTGGTATTTCTGTTGTAGCAGCACTAGATGACTAAGACAACACCTAATAATTTTTTCCTGTTTTTTTTTAAAAGAGAACGAAATAAACTCCACCTATTCCCTACTGTTCTCAAATTTAAGTTGCACTAATATCTCTGCCTTATCTTTCTAAGAAAAATCAATTTCAAATTACTGTAATAACTGAAACATTTAATGCTGGGGGGAGCGGTCTCTCTTCAAAAAGTGTGCCAGAATTACTTTGAGTACAGGCAGTCCCCAGGATATGAACAAGACCTGCTCCTGTCTTTACACCAAATTTGTAGGTAAGTCAGAACAGGTGCATACGGTTCTTATTTCGCCTTGCGTTAGTGCAAGAAAAGGCTCGAGGCCTTTTCAGTGATTTAAAAGCTGCACATGCAGCAAGTAAAGGTGATTGTGATGAAGAATTTGTTGCGAGTAGGGGTTGGTTCACTTGTTTCGAAGTGAAGGCAAATTTATGTAACATTAAAGGGCAAGTACAAGTTGTCCATTAAGTCCATAAGTCAGGGACTTCCTGTACATTTAAAAAATAAGATGGATTAATAAACAGATAGAAGGATGGATAATATGATAAAACAAGCATAGTAAAATGTTAATGATACTATTTAGGTGATGTACATGGGTGTTTACTATAAAATTCTTTCAATTTTGCTCTGTTTGAAAATATTCATAATAAAATGTTGGTGGAAAAACTTCCAACTGTTGTTTAAAGTAACAATAACAACTAAAGAAAGACACATGTCCATTAATTCAACAATGGAAACATGGCAGGTAGACATCACTGCAAATCATTTACTCCCCAAGAGAAGGGTGAGTGGTAGGGAAGCTTAGAAAGATGCCTAGCTGTGGGCAAAAAGTCTTTGTATCTACACTTCAAAAATGTTGGTAATGGTTTCCGTAGTGTAGTGGTTATCACGCTTGCCTCACAAAAACGATGGTAATGGGCGCTCAAAAATACAATTAAAAAAGAAAGAAATCTCACAACCAGAAAGTTGAAATTATAATACATGCTGTAATTTTTTTTTTTTTTTTTTGTAGAGAATAAACAGGCAGTAGAAAACTTTCCCATTAGCTTAAGACTTTTGGGGTTATGACACATCATCTTCCATATGGCATATTTTAAAAGGATCAAAATTAAGGCTAGCTTAGTATGGTCTCACCTTAGGTTTTAAAGTACCACTCTTTATACTCTCCTATCTTAATTTTCCATGTAGAACTTAACATCATCTGGTATTTTTCTTATTATTTGGTTAGTGTCTACTCACTAGAATTTAACAGGGGCCAGGTCTAGAATGCTCATCACTACAGGCAGTTCCTGGGTTAGGATCATCTGACTTATGGACAACTCCTACTTGCCCTTTAATGTTACATAAATTTGCTCTCACTTTGAAACAACTGAACCAACCCCTACTCGAAACAAATTCTTCATCACAATCACCTTTACTTGCTGCATGTGCAGCTTTTAAATCACTGAAAAGGCTTCAAGTCTTTTCTTGTACTAACGTAAGGCTAAATAAGAACTGCATGCACCTGTTCTGACTTAGCTACAGATTCAACTTAAACAGATAAAGACAGAGGAACAGATTTCATTCTTTAACCTGGGGACTGCCTTCACTAATTATAGTAAAATAACATTATCCTCGAATGTCAGATTTAGTAAGTGCTATCAAATATGAAGCCAAAAAACCAAACCCACTGCCATCGAGTCAATTCCAACTCATAGTGATTCTCTATGACAGGGTAGAATTGCCCCATAGGGTTTCCAAGGCTGTAAATCTTTACGGAAGCAGACTCCCATATCTTTTTCCCACAGAGCTGCTGGTGGTTTCAAACCAACAACCTCTCCATTAGCAGCTGAGCACTTTAACCACTATGCCACTAGGGCTCCATTAGATATAAGGTATCATTAAATACTCACCAATCTTCTACTAGTGTATTATTCAGATGGGTCAGCATTATGAAAATCCACTGAAGTTCTTTATCTTCAAATAACTCAAGGGCCTTATTGTAAGATGCATCTTTACTATGTTGTATAGCTATTGTCGAGAAATCTATAGGACCCAATTCTCCCAAGCAGCTTCCAACAGCCTCTGTATATAGAAATTCCATTTTAGTAGAGTCACAGCTATGACAGCATACCTAATACAGAAATTTTCTAACTAGAAAAATACAATGCTGCTCCGTCAAGCCTCAAGGTTTATTAAGTATGGTTTCAAAGATACACAGTGAAGAATTTAATTTGCTTGACTACTAAGCAGCTACAAAATACTGCATCATTTCCTTTACCTATCATCCATGTGGGCAACAGATATTTCCCTCTACAGAATCATATCCAGGAGATAGATAACAGAATGTAGATATTAAGGAGAAAGTCTAAACATGGCTACTGTATGAGTATCAACAGATGTTAATCTTCAATACATAGTTCATTGAAGTTTACACATACACTTTTTTTTCCACTTGTGTTATCACCACCCAGATGAAGATACAACATTTTCAGCATACCAAAGGACTTCCTCATGCTCTTTTCCAGCTGTGACAGAATTTACTAAAATATGTCTAAAATTCTTTGATATTCATCCTTTCAAAAAGTAGAGCCTAATTCCCCTCCTCGACTGTGGGCTGTATTTAAGAAGACCGAGGAAGAATTGATGCCTTTGAATTATGATGCTGGTGAAGAATACTGAATATACCATGGACTGCCAGAAGAATGCACAAATCTGTCTTGGAAGAAGTACAGCCAGAATGATCCTTAGAAGCAAGGATGGCGAGACTTCATCTCATGTACTTTGGACAAGTTATCAGGAGGGACCAGTCCCTGGAGAAGGATATCATGCTTGGGAAAGTAGAGGGTCAGCAAAAGAGAGGAAGACCCTCAATGAGATGGAGTGACACAGTGGCTGCAACAATGGGTTCAAGCATAGCAAGGATTGTGAGGATGGTGCCCGACCAGGCAGTGTTTTATTCTGTTGTACACAGGATCGCTATGAGTTGGAACTAACTTGACAGCACCTGATGATAACAATGACAACAACATTCTAACAAATGTAGTAGAAATGACAACATGTAACTTCCAAAACTACGTCAAATAAGACATTGTGGCTTCCTTTTTACCCTTTCTTTCTTGGATCACTCACTGTGGGAGAAGCCAGCTGCCATGTCATTAAGACACTCAAGCAGCCTTATAAAGGGTCTATGTTATAAGGAACTGAGGCCTCCTGCTAACAACCAGCACTTGCCAGGGGAGTAAGTGGATTCTCCACTCTAGTCAAGCTTTTCGACTGACTTTACTCAAGCTTTTCGGCAGCTGTATTGCAACCTTATGAGAAACCACAAACCAGAACCACCCAGCTAAGCTGCTCCTGGATTCTTGATCCACAGAAACTATGTGAGATAATAAATGCTATTGTTTTAAGGCATTAAGCATTTGGGTAATTTGTTATGCAGCAATGGATAACTAACACACCAGTCAATACCAATTCCCCCTACACCCTGCCACCAATGAGTACCATTCAGACTTCCATCACACCAGGGGTCGGTAAACTATGGCTTGGTGGCTACATCCTGTTCTTATAAAGTTTTATTAAAACATGGCCATACACACTGTTTTATACACCGTTTAAGGCTGCTTTCACAATACAACAGTCAAGTGAATAGTTACAAAAGAGACAGTATAGCCCACAAAGCCTAACATATTTACTATCAAACGGAAAATGTTTGCTTACTCTGCCATACATCACAGATTTGTTCTGCCTGTTCCTGAACTTTGAAAAAAACAGAATCATGTAGTATGTCCTACTTTGTGGCTGGCTTCTTTTGTTTATTATCATATCTGAGAGATTCATCCACGTTGCTATATGCAGCAGTAGTGTGTTCTATTTTATTGCTGTACTGTATTTATTTAATGATTATACTGCAACTTAATTATTCATTCTACTAGTGACTAACATTTAGTTGTTTTCAGTTTCGGTTTATTCTAAAATAAAATCTTGCATATGTCTCTTGGTACACATGTGCATGCATTTCTACTAGGCATACATATAGGAGTGAAACTGTGGGTTCACAGGACTTAGGTACTTTCCATGCTAGAAGACCATACCAAACTGTTTTCCAAAGTGGTTGTTATCAATTTATTCTGCCACCAACAATGTGTGCGAGTTCCAATTCCTCCATAGCTTTCCTAATACTGACACTAAGAGTGTTGTCAGTCTTTTAAATTTTAGCCATTTTGTGAGTGGTTAATTAATCTCATTGTGATTTTAATTTCTATCTTTTTATCAGTTTATGGATCATTTGGATATTCTCTTTTGTGAAGTGTCTAAGTCTTTTGTCCATTTTTTAAATTGGGTTGTCTTCTTTTTTATTGATTTGTAGGAATTCTTTATACAATCTGGAAGAGTCCTTTGTCGCGTATATAAATGTGAACTTCTTTCAATCCATATACTGTATTTTCAATCTCTTAATGGAGATTTTACATAAAAAGAGGCACATGTATCGAGTTTTGAAGGTTAGTGCTTCTTTGCCTTGTTTAAGAAATCTTTAACTACCCTAAGGTCACAAGGATATCTGAATAGGTTTTTCCTTCTAGAAACTTTGATTTACCTTTCTTATTTGTAATGATCCATTTCAACTTAGTTTTTGTGTATAGTGTGGGATAGAATCAAGGTTCTATACAGGTATCAGCACCATTTATTGAAAAGACAATCCTTTCCCCACTGAATTGCATGGCACTTTTGTTATAAATCAGGTGACCTTCCATGCAGTGATCTGTTTCTGGATTTCCTATTTTGTTATATTGATCTGTTTGTTTAGCCTTGTGCCAATAACAGTGTGTTGATTATCATAGTTTTATAGTAACTTTGATATCTTATAGATTAAGAGCTCCAACTTATTCTTCTTCAAGGTCATCTTAGTTATTCTGGATCCTCTGCATTTTCATATACATTTTAGAACCAGCTTGTCAATTTTCAAAAATAAACCTGCTAGGATTTTGATGGAGACTACATTGAGTGAATCAATAGGATCACCATCAATAATAATTCATGAACTCAATGTATACCTGTGGAAAAGCTTAATTTACACGTCTCTAATCAACTCAGTTATCTGATAACCAAACAGTAAAAGGGGTCTATAACTCCCACTCATCCTTCAAGTTCCATCTTAGAAATCACTTTACTGCAGAATTCCTCAAATCTGGTTAAATGTCCTCCTTTATGCTTACAAAAGATTCTGCACTTATGCAATGACAGCACTCAGCAACTCATACGTAAACAGCCTCTCAGTCTGATCTGGGCAACAAAGTAGGCCTAGACACATGACATCCAGTCAATATTTATTTAATTATGTTAGAACACCTATTGTATTGCTGCTTACTGTAACAACTAACATTCAAAATTACCCTGGCTCATTAAGAAAGTATCTAATCTTGCTCATTATAGAGCCTTCTACCAAAACTATAAAAATTTATAACGAAAATTCACTGAGATTGCGGTTATGTGGACATTTCACTTAAAAGAAATAACTTCATATCCACACTGCTGTATAAGACATCATTGCATTGATTAATATAGTTATACCGATTCATAGTTATAAAATACATATAGTTACACAAACATTTGTTCCCACAAATTGTGAGGGAGAATTGGGTACTTATACCTCTATTTTTTGGGCTCAGAGGGGGAATTTTCACCCTTAAAATAACTGTTAAATGATGAGGTGGCTCTGAATAATGATGCTACCCAATAGTTAGCCTAATCCAGTGGTTCTCAATCAGGGGCAATTTTGTCCCCCAGGTGGACATGTGGCAATATCTGGAGAAATTTTCAGTTGTCACAACTGGGGGGGGGGGTGCTACTGGCATCGAGTGGGTAGAGGCCAGGAATGTTGCTAAATATCCTACAGTGTACAGGACAGCACCCCACCACAAAGACTTATTTTGCTCAAAATGTTAATAGTGCCAAATTAGTCCAAATTAGTCTGAGTCAAAATACAACAGTCTAACATACGAACCCTTTAAGTTTCATATTATAAACCACTATGATTCTAGGCTATATAGGAAACTCATTTAGGGCTCTTGTAACAAATCAGGTTTGCCTCTAGAAGTAGTGCTACTACGGACAATAGGGGCAAGTTCCCTGGATCAGAAAAACCTTCTGGGGTCCTGGTAATGTTCTGTTATACGGTCTGGGTGTTTGATGCACAGGTGTCTTCTGTTTGTGAAAATTCTTCAAGCTGTATAATTATGATCTGTATACTTTTCTGCCTACATGATATATGCTAATAAAAAGTTTACAAGAAAAGGAAGTACCGTTGATACTAGGTTCCCACTGAAAGGTTAAGGAGGACTCAGTTGAAAGGTAATGGAATCTGTGAAGTACCTTTCATTCCCCCATTTTTCTTATTTGAAGCGATGTTCTAATGACAACTTCAAGCTAAGTGACTCTTGTGATATTTCTACCCCATGATCATCAAATCTGAATGCCTGCATTAGGCAAGATATTGTAAGATTTCTTTTTATGTACTGATCCATACTGAGCCCTCAATTACGCATCTATACAGTGTTGTTGTTGTTGGGTACTGCTGAGTCGACTCCAACTCATGCCAACCCCATGTGTGTCAGAGTAGAACTGCACTCCATAGGGTTGTCAACGGCTGTAATCTTATGGAAGTAGATCACCAGGCCTTTTTTCCACAGAGCCTCTTGGTGGAATCAAACCACCAACCTTTTGGCTAGTAGCTGAGCACAAACCGTTTGCATCACCAAGGGAAGATTAATATACTGGCTATTTATCTTACATTAGGCTCCCCCTGCCCAATGGTGATAGGAAAGGACTTCAATCCTGTTTTAATATTAGAGTTTGGCTAGTCCTACAAGTCTTTATTCTTATTTTTGTTATATAAAAAGATATTAAATACTCGTCACAATAATATATTTAAAAAATATCTCAGTAGCCAATTTGCTTGTAACATATCAACTCTATAAACAGGTATTTCTGCCTTTCCCAAATTATCTATAAGGCATTTTCAAAGAATAGTTATACATATGTACAAAACACTAACTTTCTATCTTATGTCAAGGTGTAAGGAAGGAAAATATGAAAAGGATGCTGCTTAGGGAAACTTGAATTAATCAGAAATGTAACTTAGCTAGCATATCACATGTACCCAATACCCAAGATGACAAACTTTTCATTTATTTTGAAGAGGAACATTCAAACTTCATAAAAACTCACATTCATTCAGCCAAATAGTTTACCTAAAACTTCTCTTTCCCCAGTGTGGTTTGCTGCCATCTTGGATAGTTGCAACAAGCTCACAACTAGCTTCACCATAATGCCATCTTGTGGGTTTTCTAGGGGTAGTTCAGAAAAAATTGGTTTAAATTACGGAGATAACACTTTTTCTTAAAATATGCATGTAAATTATCTGACTAGAAAACTTTTAGGAAGCTTAAAAAAGGTTTTCAGTCATGAGCAGCTCAAAAACTATGTATCAAAGGTATTTGAATTTCCTTATAAAACAAAATCATGTGGAAGTGATCAGCAATATGTGGCAGACAGAGGAAGATCTCTTAAACAAGTTGTGCAAGGAGGTCAATACCTCAGCAAAGTCATAAACAGAAACACAGAAATCATTCAACATTAAAGCTAGAAGGGACCTTGAGAAACTGCTTGGTTTTTTATCCTCTTGCATCTAGAATCTATACCAGCATCGTCCAAGAGAACTTTCTGCAGTGATGGCAATGTTCTGTACTCTGTGCTATCTCACACAGCAGCCACTAACCACGTTACTACAGAAAAATTGAAATTTAAAGGAATTGAATTTCAAATTTTATTTAATTTTTAAATAATTTAAAATTTAAATTCAATTCAATTAATTTAAATTGTGCCAAGTGGCTAGTGGCTGTATTAGACAAGGGAGGTCTAGACCAATAAAACTCTCAAATACAGGAAACAAGGGTCAGAGGTGTTCATACAGAACACACACACACACATATATATATTATTCAAACAAATACGTTAGAAACTCTGAGATCAGATGGTCAGAATCGAAATTAGTTTTAAAAAAATACTGAGAACAAAAATAATAGTACAGACAATGATATTAACGGACACAGAAAGATAAAAACCAAAACAAAAAAAGTTTTCCCTAAATGTAAAACTGTAATAACTTAAAACTCAAAAATTAACATAAATATGGATGTTTGCTGAAGCAGAAAAAGAACCCCAGAAACATGTATATACAAACATATATGTATATATATAAATAAACACATGTAGATAAATACATACACACATGAACACCGTTATAAGGCTTTTAAAACGATACTTTTTTTCATTCAAGTAGACTGGAGCAGTAGGCAGAGATAAATGCTTGCATGCTTAGCGCTAAGAAACTGAATTTTTTTTCTTTTAAGCAGTAGAAAGTTGTTAAAATATTTCAAGCAGTGTTATAACACTATCATGTTTAAGTTTTAGAGAAATCATTTTGGCAGAGGTGTAGGACAGGCAAAATGGGAGTAACTCGTGATAAGGAGATCAGTTAGGAAGTCTTTTACAGTTAGATGAGAAATTATGAGGGTCTAAACTAAATCAAGAGGGTCTGAACTAAGTCAGTGGCAATCAAATCAACAGCAAGGATTTATGGAAGATGCTTTAAAAAAGAAATAGGTACAAAGAAACAGGTACTAACAACCCATGCCATTAAAATTAGTACCCTGAGAAGCTCTCATAAGATCCTTCATCTGATCTTTATGTTGTTCCAGTTGTCTTCGAAGATCCTTCAATCCTTCAAGCCTTGTCAATGGAAGTGCATCATAAACACTTACTGAGAGAAAATGTTTAATTTCCTAAAAGAGAAAATTGGTTAAAGATGTAACATGCTTTTAGTACATATTGGTTAAGTTAGTGAAATAAAACTTAATAAAAGCAAAAAATTACTAAGTGCCTTGTATAGACAGCAACTGATATTATTACTATCAAACAAAACAGAAATAAATTACTTCTTCTATTTCAAATTCTACAGTTTATTTCAATTCTTTAAATTCTGATAGACTCTCAGGATAACACAGCTAGATTTCAAGATTGTTATGGTATCTTCAATTGGAGAAAAAAGCTTAAATTTCTATTTATTTAGCAGTTTACTAGTTTTACTTCTTCTGTATTTAAGTACATTTTCATACTGATAGATACACAGTCAAACATAGACTATGATTTCAAAATAAAAGTCAAAAGAAAAAGGTCATCCAAGGTACAACAATTGGTCTCTATTTGCCTGAAGCAACAGAGGAAAGAGAGTCAGGAATATGAGAAGGAAATGGAATGTGTGGCTAACTGCCTCCATCAACAGCTGCCTCCTCTGCCATGAGACCAGAAGAACTGGATGGTGCCTGGCTACCATTACTGAACATTCTGACAAAGATTCTATGAAAGAATTCCGATCAAAAGGGGGAAAATACAGAACAGAATTTAAAATTTTCATGGACTTCAGACTTTCTGGAGCCATGGAGGCTGGATGAACCCCTGAAACTACTGCCTAAGAAAATAGGTTTTTTTTTTTTTTGAGAAAGTTTAATAAATTTATTATCCAAGGCCACACCATTAGTGAGGGGAAGGGTTGGAATTTGAAATCCAGTTCCGTTTAGAACTAGAGTCCATGATCTTACTGATCACCTCTTTTCTTTTTTGTTTTGTTTTGTTTATTGCTGTAGTTTAAGTGAAAGTTTACATTGCAAGTTAGTCTCTCATACAAAAATTTATACATACATTGCTATGTGACCCTAACTGCTCTCCCTATACTGTGACAGCACACTCCTCCTTTCCACCTCTGATTTCCTGTGTCCATTCAACCAGCTCCTGACCGTCTCTGCCTTCCCCTCACCTCTGGACAGGAGCTGCCCATTTAGTCTCATGTATCTACTTGAGCTAAGAAGCACACTC